GGTAAATAATGTACCTATATTTTATATAAATTATTGTGTACCTATTTTTAATTATGAAAAATATACGCAATTACAAAGTAACTGACTTTGTTTTTTTTTTTTTGGTAAATAATATACCTATATTTTATATGTATATATTTATATTTTATTTTTCATAGGTAATTTATTGGATATGTAATTTACAGATTTTTTTTCTTTTTTTGTAATTTTAAGGGGCGAGATGTGAGAGAGAATGACAACTAAAAGAAATGGGGTGATTGATATGCTATGAATAGGGAGTATATTAATTACAATTATGGCAGTTAATGAAATGCTTGAAATAAATTATAAATAAAATATGAAGTTTGGTGGCAATGATGTAAAAACATAGAAATACTACGACCTCTTATATCCTACTAGTCATTTAAATTTGAAATTGAGTTTTACACATAGATTTATAAAGTGATGGGTATATGTCTAGGAAATAGAAAATATAGGGATCTATATTGGACAAGCCCTAAAATTTATAAAAAAATATAGTAAATTTGGCTTACACTCTTCAAATTCAACTTACCTTACCTGCGACCTTTCACTTTTTGTTCTTATAAATAATACCCAATTTTTATAAGTAAAAACTCATGACTAGGAACTCATCAAGTTACCTTATTAAGCTTAATATTTGATTTATTATAATTTTTTTATTGCTAAAATACCCTTATTTATTTTTCAATGTGTAATGGGGTGATGTTTTAATTTTTGGTTCCCCAATTTATTGTGGTGATTCCCTCTAAAAATTTTGTCTGCAATTAATTATCAGTTTTATTATTAAAATTCATTAATATAGTCAACAATTTGTTGGCCAAAAAAGTCTGTTTTCCTTATTGCCTTTTTGAAATTTTGTTCCATCTTTCCTGGATAATAATTACCTATTTTAGAACTTGGATTTCATTTATTGTACCTAGTTTTTCCATGGATAATAATCTACCTATTTTTTTATTATAAATTATTGTGTACCTATTTTTCTGTAATAATCTACCTATTATTTTTTTATTATAAATTATTGTGCACCTATTTTTCTATAATTAAGTTTTTTCATGAATAATAATCTACCTATTATTTTTTTTATTAAAAATTATTGTGTATCTATGTTTTCTATAAATTATTATGTACCTATTTTTCTGTAATAGTCTACCTATTATTTTCAATAAATTATTGTATATCTATATTTTCTATAAATTATCATACAACTATTTTTCTGTAAATTTTTTTGGTAAATAATATGCCTATATTTTTATACGTATATATTTATATTGGTATTTTTCATAGGTGATTATTGTGTACCTATTTTTCTGTAATAATCTACCTATTATTTTTTTATTATAAATTATTGTGCACCTATTTTTCTATAATTAAGTTTTTTCATGAATAATAATCTACCTATTATTTTTTTTATTAAAAATTATTGTGTATCTATGTTTTCTATAAATTATTATGTACCTATTTTTCTGTAATAGTCTACCTATTATTTTCAATAAATTATTGTATATCTATATTTTCTATAAATTATCATACAACTATTTTTCTGTAAATTTTTTTGGTAAATAATATGCCTATATTTTTATACGTATATATTTCTATTTATATTTTTCCATTATTGGATATGTAATTTACATATATATATATATATATATATTTGGTTTGCAATTTTAAGGGCGATATGTTAGAGAGAATAGTAACTAAAAGAAATGGGGTGATTGATATGCTATTAATAGGGAGTATGAATTACAATTATGGTAGTTAATAAAATGCTTGAAATAAATTATAAATAAAATATGAAGTTTAGTGGCAGTGATGTAAAAACGTAGGAATACTATGACCTCTTATATCCTATTAGTCATTTAAAATTGAAATTGGGTTTTACATATAAATTTATAGAATGATGGGTATATGTCTAGGAAATAGAAAATGTAGGGACCTATATTGGCCAAGCCCTAAAAAATAAGAAAAAAAATATTGTTTAATTACTTGAAGGACAAATTTGACATTCCATATGCATTTCGATTGACGAAAGGTTCTCTGAACACACCTTATGGAGTGATGTGAACTAATGTTCATCAGCATGAACTACTTGTATATATACTCCATCACCTTTTCAACCGAAAGAAACACCAACAACAAGTGCTTTGATATCTTCCAAACAGCTTGTTTGCAAGATTGTTTATCCACCATGGCTTCCACCACCTCAACGTCTTTTTTTCCAATCAAACTTGACGGCACCAATTATCCTCTTTGGCTTGCCCAGGTCATCCCCGTCTTGAAAAGTAGAAATCTCATGGGTCATGTGGACGGGACAAAGCCATGTCCTGCCTATCTTCTCACCGATGGAAAAGGCAAAACAGTTAATCCCGCATTCGATGCATGGATTAAAGAGGATCGGATGATCCAGAGTTGGATCAACGGCTCGCTTACTGCCGCTGTTTCGTCCATGGTGGTTCCCTCTGCTTGTTCGCGGAGTATATGGCTGTCGTTGGAGAAGCGCTACGGTTCTCAGTCTCAAAACGACAGAGTTTTGCAGCTCTGCGGTGAGCTTCTTCACAAGAGGAGTGATATCTCCATCTCGGCTTACATAAACAGAACAAACTCCATTGCAGACAAACTTAGGGTTGCTGGCAGCCCCATCTCTGACCATGATTTAGTGACGGTTGTCACCAGTAATTTCCCGCAGTATAAGATTACGGCTAACTCTAGCTGGAACCCTCTCACCTACAAAGTTCTTCAGAACATACTATTGACGCTTGAAAAAGAATTGCCTATGTAATAATTTATGCACTTTTTTGTTGTTGTTGTTGCATTTGAATGGTTTAATTCTGGGTTTGCTATGCATCGTGTGGACTTGACAATTTAGAGCGGTCACCTAAGCATCTTCTAGATATTTTGGACACTGAAACTACTCATATTGAGATGTTATCATTCTGTGTATCACGTGTAATTTTCTTTTCCTTTCCAATGTAATAAAAAGGTTTCCTCTCTCTGCCAAAGCAAATTTTAGTCTAGAGTTGGGCAAAACATTGTCCAAATGGGTCAAACTAAATCAATTCAATGGTTTGGTTTGATTTTTTTTTCTCTAAATTACAGTAATCCTGGAATTTAGAGTTTAGTTTGGTCCAAAAATTCCTCCCAAAGTATTATATATGAGAAATTGGGATATTATATATACGTAAATTCTCCTATATGAAAGTCCGGGCGTTATTATTGTGCAGACACTATTGTAAATAGGGAGAAATGCACGAAGGGGTAGTAGAAAATACACAGTGTCTGCAAAGTAATAACGTCCATACATCTGCATAGTAAAAAATCATATATATATATATATATATAGTCCCCTTTTATTGAGAGATCCCTCAAATAATTTTATTTGAGGAACACCCTTTAGAGCCCCCTATAAATATATTTTCAACAATCGAAACTATCTATTTTTTAAGTCTACATTCATAGATCATCATTGTAAAAAATTAGACAAATCGGAAACCGTTTCAATATCTAATTGTGTCGTACAAAATCAAAGAATATGATGCTTCAAGAAAGTACTAAATTATTTTAATTGAGTGGTCAAATGATATCAGATTCAAATATTTTTTGTAGAGAGATGATCTTTGAATGAGTATCTACAAAATAGATAGTTTGGATTAGTGAAATACAATACAGAATGGACCCTATAAGAGTGCCCCTCAAATAAGCTTATTTGATGAATCCCTCAATAAAAGCACTCTGATATATATCAGGGATTAGACTATTCGAATATATATGATCTGATACATGTTCTATGGTGAGAAGTTCACTGATGAGAATATGAACATTTAATCTCTCCGGAGAAAAATTGGGGAAAAAAAAAAGCTTGGATGGAGAGACTCCCCTGTCACGTAACGGCTTATTATTATCCCGTCCAATACGTTCCTCACACCGTATGGTTTTACTTACACATATTCGTAAGAATTTCACACACATTCATCTAACCAATTGATGAACATTGTGGAAATATCGCATCAGTTGTTGGGCATTTTAAATTCCAAACACTCTCCTCCCCTTTGGAGGTTCTGCCAAACAATATGAAACTCGTTTTAGTTTAAGGAGACAGATCATCGATATATTATTGATGATTGCCTTGCTTTCTCTTTCAATAGTTTAGACTTTGGAGGGAGAGCCAGCCAGCCAATCAGCAATCATGTTGACCACTCCTGGTGCATCAAGAGGAGCTCCTCGCAATATCTGGAGATGTTGCTTGTCTAATATTGGACACCGGCCGCCTGTCCAAAATTATTTTGAAAGAAAATATATATACAAGAACTCCACCATTCTGCCTCAAGTGTCGGGTCAACAAAATTTTTCTAACACCCCAACCTCGTTGTCTCTTGTAAGAATCATTAGAATGATTTATTTAATTAATTAGAGGCCCCGATGTTTATCATACGGACATATTTGTCGGCACTCTAACTTTTGACGAAATTTTTAGAGTGTGACTGTCACACCAGGTCGTGTTATTAGTTAAATGTTATAACGTGAACTGATATTTTAGTTAATTTAATGACATTGTATTAATAAATGAACAATTTATTACCGGCGGTGCTACAATCACCCAATAATAAGATCTATAAGCAATAATTGAATCGGATAATATTATATGATGATTTATATTAGAGCTCTCAAGGTTGACTCACAACTATTATTATTATTATTTGGAAAAGTTAAGAAGGGCGGTGGGTTTTCTCACAAACATATTATAAATCAAGGTGTCATGGGAGTTTGAATATGAGACCAATGGTCTGCAAGTGCATGCTCCTTTCCAGCGCTAAAGCACGTTGGTCACTTAACAAGTAATTAAGTTTTGGAAATAAATGTGATGCTTTTAATTGAATTTTGTATATTATCCATACATAAAATAGAATAATTTCATTCTTAGTCAACATGTGTGTTGGGTGAACTATAATTTTCAAACGACACCCCAAAACGCGTGGATGACGTTTGCATACATCTCTTGTAAGAATTTTAGAAGAATTTTTTCTTCTAATAATTCACTAGTGTGTTGACAAGAAGAAGTTAATTCGTTGAAGTGATCAGAACCATAGTGCCAACCAGTACTTCTCTTCATTCCCTTATTATACAATACAACTTAATTGCTCGATCGATTTCGTTCATCCATCCATGTCTTCCTCCTCAACTTCTCTTCCGTCAAATGCCATCAAACTCGATGGCACCAATTATCCTGTTTGGCTTGCCAAAGCTATTCCCATCTTACAAAGTCGAAACCTCATGGGTTATGTGGACGGGACCAAGCCCTGCCCTGACTATTATCTCACTGATGCTCAAGGAAAAATAACCTTCACCGTTGATCCCGCATATGACCTGTGGATTAGAGAGGATCGGATGGTCCAAAGTTGGATCAATGCCTCGCTTGCTCCCTCTGTTTTATCTGTTGTGGCTAACTGCACTACTGCACGGAACGCATGGCTGTCTTTGGAGAAGCGCTACGCTTCTCAATCTCACAACCCTAATTCTGCCACTACAGCCACCGCCTTTGCCTCCGTACCTCTTCCATCAGGACGCGGTGGTTCTCCTCGTTCGGGATCAACAAGTTTTCGAGGTCGCCGGGTTGCACCCAGCGTTGGTGCTTCTAGTACTGCATATGATAACCCTGGCGGAAATGGTCATGGTAATGGCAATGTCAGTTCATCTCGTGCTAATAGTGCCTCCTCATCTTTTAACAGTACTACCACTCGTCCTTCTCCATCTAGTTATCAAGTGTTCTTGAGTTTCAGAGGCGAAGACACTCGCAAGACTTTTTCTGACCACCTCTACACGGCCTTTGTGAAGGCCGGCCTTCGCACATTCCGAGATGACGATGAACTAAAGAGAGGAGAACATATTCAGCCGGAAGTTCTGAGAGCCATCAAAGAGTCAAAATGTTTTGTCATTGTGTTCTCAAAGGAGTATGCGTCTTCGCTTTGGTGCCTTGACGAGCTCGTGATGATCCTCGATCGCAAGAGGAGCTCCAACTCTAGCCATGTCGTTTTGCCAGTATTTTATGACGTCGATCCATCCCAAGTGCGGAAACAGACGGGGAGTTTTGCAACGGCGTTTGCTAGACATGAAATGCGTCACTCGTTGGAGACGACAAAGAGATGGAGGGCAGCGCTTACAGAAGTTGCAGATGTAGCAGGGATGGTCTTACAAAACGAAGCTGATGGGTGAGTACGTAATATTTATTTATTTTTATGACGCGTTTGATTAGTTAAGAATAAACTAAAATCCCAAAAATTATATGCCGTCACACGAAAAAGAAAAAAAATAATGCGAATAATTTGAAGCTGACTAAACAACTTCATTCCAAGATGTACCAATTCAACATTCACCAAAAAGAAAAAGAAAAAAAAGAATTGTAGATTAATTTGTGCTATTTCTCTTTCTCTTTCTCTTTCTCTTTCTTTCGTGTGTTTTTTCAGTATGGTTTTCGCGGTATGTATATATTTTTCCTCATTCAACTCATTGTAGATTAAATGTCATATTATTTCCATGAGAATTTATGATTTAACAATATTAGTCCCGACATTTATTCTTCATATTGCAATTGTCTAGGCATGAGGCGAAGTTTATCCAGAAAATTGTTAAAGTGATTGAAGATAGGCTAAGTCGCACGCCATTAAGTGCTGCGCCGCACTTGATCGGAATTGACTATCGAGTCAAAAACATTAATCAGTGGTTACAAGATCAATCGACTGATGTTGGCATTCTGGCAATTTATGGGATGCGTGGAACAGGGAAGACAACGGTTGCCAAATTTGTTTACAATTCAAACTTTAGAAGATTTGAAGCAAGCAGTTTCCTTGAAAATATCAAAGGAAGTTCAGAACAACCCAATGGCTTAGTTCAAGTACAAAAACAACTTCTTACTGATATTTTGGATGGAAGAAAAGTGAAAGTAAACAGTGTAAGTGAGGGCATAACTAAGGTTGAAGATGCCATTAGCTCTAAAAGAATCCTTCTTGTTCTTGATGATGTGGATCATATGGACAAATTATTGGATCTACTACTTGGGATGAAAGATCGGTCTTCCCGAGGAAGTAAAATCATCATAACAACTAGCATTGTAGGGTTGTTAAGATCTGATCGTTACCAAATTATTAAGGTGCATGACATTGGAACCTTCAGGGACAGTGAATCATTGGAACTCTTTAGTAGGCATGCTTTTGGAAAGGACCATCCCATTGAAGGTTACAAGGAAATTTCAAAAAAGGTAGTAAACCACTGCGGAGGACTTCCCTTAGCTCTTAAAACTTTGGGTTCTTCTTTATCAGGGCAAAGTATGGTTGTATGGAAAAGTGCATTAGAGAAATTGGAAGCTATCCGAAAGGATGAAATCATGAAGAAACTTAGAGTAAGCTATGACTCTTTGCAAGATGACCACGATCGAGATTTATTCCTTCACATCGCATGCTTTTTCATTGGAATGGAAAATGATGTCATGGTTAGAATACTAGATGGTTGTGGTTTCCAAACAATTGTTGGCATTCAAAATCTCCTGGATAGATGTTTGATAAGAATTGATAGATGTAAAAAGGTGCAGATGAATCATATGATTCGTGACATGGGAAGGGGAATTGTTGGCTTAGAATCCGAGCAGTCGGGGCAACGCAGTAGGTTATGGCGTCATAAGGATTCTTTCGAAGTATTGACAGAAAATAGTGTAAGAAACATATTTCCTTTTTGTATCTGTACGCTTTACTTTTTGGGCATCCATTTTGGTTACTTATATATCCAAATATTTTATTTTCAAATGTTTATTACTTTTCAGGGTACAGAAAATATTGAAGGTCTTATTCTGGACATGCGTATGCACCCTGCATATAGTGCTCTTTCAAGAAGGTCAAATGTTGAGGTAGTCTTGGAAACCAATGCATTTGCAAAGATGAACAAACTAAAGCTGCTCCAACTTAGTCATGTACAACTCGAAGGAAACTATCAAGAATTTCCTAAAGGATTAAGATGGTTGAGTTGGCATCAATCTCAGTTGGAAATGTTACCCATTGATTTTCCATTGAAGAGTTTGGTTGTTCTTGAAATGTGCTATAGCAGCTTGAGACGATTTTGGAATCAGAGAACTGAGGTATATGCTACCTCTTTACACTATACTTTCCTTTTTCCTTTTTCTTTTTTTCGCGTTTTCGATGCTGGATTATACATTTGTAAGAATTAATTGTTTACCTACTTAGTTAAGTTGTTTCTTTTTCAACAGTGTCTCCCAACAATGAAGATCCTAAATCTCAGCCATTCCCATTATCTTAAAGAAACCCCTGACTTTTCGTTTGTTCCCAATCTAGAGGTTCTGATTCTGAAAGACTGTCCAAGCTTAGTTGATGTCCATGAATCCATTGGAAAAATAGAGACACTCACTGAGTTGAATATGGAAGATTGCAAAAATGTTAGGAAGCTGGACATTTCTCAGCTAAGATTCCTTGAAACACTTATTATTTCCGGTTGCTCAAATCTTAACGAGTTTCTGATGGACATGAGGAAGATGAAATCTCTAAAAGTGTTTCAAGCAGATCCAATTCACCAATTGCTCCATACCGCAGAGGATCCAGAGGTTGAACTAGGGCAAGAAAATATTCCAGAAATGTTTTGGACTTCTTACATACCAAGCAACTTGGTAGATTTAGGTCTTGGAAATTGCAATCTTTCTGATGATGATTTTCCTGCGGCATTTCGAAACCTGTCCTCATTGCAAAACCTAAACCTAGGCGGCAACCCTATTCGCAGCCTACCAGATTGTATTAGAGGTCTTAAGAAGCTCTATACACTTTCTTTTTCTCAATGCACAAGGCTCAAATACCTTGTAAGGCTACCCAAGGTTGGAGAACATATTGTAATATCAGGATGCACCTCATTGGAGAAAATATCGTATCAATCGATTTCCTATCGACCCACCCGCTTTGTCATTGGATCCAACTGGAAGCTAGCTCTGCTTCAGGGCTGCTTCAAGTTTGAACCCATTGATGCATTTGACGATGCAGAAATGATCAACCTTCTGGGCTTGACCAACTGGGCATCCATGCGAATTATTACGGACACGACACATGATGCGCTTGTCAATGCTGAGACTGAGAAGAAGCAGCAACCCATCAAGGTCTCTTTCTCTATCTCCACTTTATATAGTTATATGCATTAAAAAGAAGCTTTTTGTTAAATTGATCCGTATACGGAAACGGAAGTGTTTAAAAAGAAAAACATAGATAGCTGAAATTAGAAGTTTTTAATCAATTCTTAACATAAAATCTTCGCGAAGTTACTGCTATAGGACTATGCATATGTTGATGTGTAAGTGTGTTGTTGGCATAGGGACTGTATGAAAATGGTATATTCAGCACATTTCTTCCGGGGGACCAGGTTCCAAAACAGTTCAGCCATTATATGGATGGGCTCTCAGTATCTTACACCGTGCCTTTACTTCCCAATCTCAAGATCCGAGGCTTGAACGTCTTCGCCGTCTATACAAAATCCGACACTCCTTCTAAGTATAATTACACTAGGGATTCATCACTTAGACCTATAATGGGTCAAGTCGACAACAAGACCAGCCGCGTGGCATGGACATACGGCCCGTTGTACTACGGCGTCCCGAGCGATGGAGAGGATGTGACATGGCTGAGCCATTGGAGGTTCGGTGATCAAGTGCGAGGGGGTGATGAAGTGGATTTTAAGGTATTTCCAAAAGAGGAAATTAGGGTAAAGAAATGTGGCATCCAGGTCGTGTACGAGCAAGGAGAGAAGAGGTGGAAGAGCTACACGGAGGACCCTTTTTATCCAAATGTGATTGCTGGAGAAGCGTCGGTGTATGGGATTAAGTGGGATCGTAAAGGAACATACTTCATCACTCACTCTACGCCAGGCCCAACTGCAGAATATATTACCAACCATTTTGCACCTGAGTTCAATTACCTAAGGCGCATCACTTGATTCAAAGTGAAGGATAAGATACTATTAGCTGGATACTAAACGTTGTCGTTTTATTGTGTATTGGAGTCAATTTAATTCATGCATGCTGTGGTGGTTGATCAGAACAAGAAACGTTACGAAAACAAAGCGGTTCATAAAGTATGACTGTAGAAATACTCCACCGGTCATCCATCGTCAATTAACAATTTTTTTTAGGATCATTTTCATTGAGAAAGACGATAGTATACTAAACTCACACACACTACATGCAGTGGCGGAGCCAGGAATCATACCACAAGGGGTCATAGTGTAAAAGTCCAAATAAAAATTTAGGATTGAAAAACATATTGAAAATGAAATCATAGTACTTTCATTCATAATTCATAACGGAAATAATATTACAAGCTATAATTGTCCACGACGAGGTTTCATATTTTGAAAACGAAGCATTATAGCTTCATTTTCAATACAAGCAAAAATATCTCTCTCAATATAAACAAGCAAGCTATCACTCAACCATTGATCTCCCATTTTGTTCCTAAGTGGACCCTTAACAATATTCATGACAGAAAATGCCCTCTCCACTGAAGCAGTTGCAACCGGTAAAACTAAAGACAATGTAATGAGCAAATATACATAATTGAATACTTGATGCATCCTTGTCTCCACCATTTTTTTTGCAAGATCACCAATCCCTTGCAATTGAGAGAAATCACCCATGGAACGCACATAATGAATATAAATCTCAAGTTGATCTTCAAGTGCCAAACGATCCTCATCCGAAAAGTCTTGAGGATAAAATTGAGCAAGACGAAGTAACTTTGATTTATCAAAAGCTACAAATGAATCTTTCGGACTCAAACATGCCAAACAAATAAGCAACTCGGTATTTACCTCATTAAAGCGATCCTCTAACTCCGTAATTTGCTCATCAATGACATAAATAAATAGCTCCACACGATAATGATGTCTATTTGTCTTTATTGGAGCATTAC